CACGATTGTGATAAATTTAAAAAATTAGTAACAGATGCATACATATTTAATGATGAACAAAAAAATTCATCATAAAAAATATATTTCGTCCCTGAAAAATGTTCATAGAGATAAAATAAGTTTTTATCAATAAAAATCATCACTATAATGCATTACAATTATGACAAAATATTAATATTGGTCACATATACCTTACACATTCAATGATGACCAAATAATTTATCACTAAAAAATATATTTCGTCACTAAAAACTGTCAATTTTCTCTAATTAATGCATCCCACATCGATAAAAAATACATAAGAGAATAAGATTTTGCACTATAAATTTATCCCACATTGATAAAAAATATTTAAGAAAATAAATTTTTGCACCATAAAACATGTGAAACTCAATAAAACTTGAGATTAGTTTGGGTCTGATTAATTTTAATCAAGCTTGGTTAATTTTAATCGAGCTTAATTAATTTTAATCAAAATTGATTAGTATTAAAATAATAATATTTTTTATTAAACTTTTGTGATAAATTTATATCTCATTTTTTTGTGACAAAATTTTTGTTAAAATATTTGTGTTATAATTATATAAATATCTTTTTTATTTAATATCAATTTTAATAATTAATGACTAAATTTTACATCATAATTGCATTTGTGACGAACATTTTTTTGTGATGAATAAAATTGTTATAAATAATTTGTTAATCATGTCAATTTTTTTTTATCACTATAAAATTATTTTCTGTGACATGTGCTTAATTTGTTACTAAGAGCATTAGTAACAAGGGTTTTATTAACGGTTTAAGTTTTATCACTAATAATAATTTATGATGAAAAATAAAGATTTAATTATCAATAATTTAGTCACTAAATATGGATTTTCTTGTAGTGAAGGAAAGGGAACCACATAGATATATATAATAAGGACCCACTTATATACAAGTTTTACACCGGACATTTACATGAAATCTTGAATCAATAATCTCTTCGCTTTCAGAGCATGGGAGGGGGAAAAACTACAACAAATGATTGGGACCATAAATCACATAAAACCAGTTCAAAACGTGAAAGACACATGGAGATGGAGGCCTGACAAAGAAGGAAAATACACCACAAGGTCAGCTTACGAGCAGTTGGCAAAGAAAGAGGAAAGTACATTGATGGAGTACAGAAAGATATGGAGTGCGCAAGTCCCTTCAAAAGTGAGCGCTTTTTCATGGCAAATGCTTCTGGACAGAATTCCCACAAAGGTCAACTTGGCAAAGCGGGGCATTATGGATGACAACCAAGGTATAAAATGTTTTTGGTGTGATCAGTCCCCTGAACATATAGATCATCTTTTTGTGTCATGCAATATCTCATTCAATTTATGGTCTAAATGTCTAAATTGGTGGGGATTATGTTATGTTCTTGGGAATACTTGTCTTCATGTTTTCAACCAGCACAGATGGCATAAGGGCTCAAAAATTATGAAAAAAGGTTGGAATATAGTATGGTTCACAATAGTTTGGTCATTGTGGTTGTCTAGAAATGAAACAGCCTTTCAGCACAAGAAGGTAAATGAGGACAAGCTATTTGAACTGGTACAAACCCGCTCATTTCATTGGGTTAGAACTTTGTTGAAAGTAGAAAGTTTTTCTTTCATAGATTGGATTACCAACCCAGTAAGTTGCTTGACAAATAGGAAGTAGAGTGTAGATGGGTTGCTGAACTCCAGGTTTATTGTTTTTGGGAATACCTTGTGTTCTTGGTGTTTTGACCCACTTCCTGGATGTTCCTTTTTACATTGATACCAATGGGTTTGAGTACCCCTTGTACTCATATAATAAACTTCCTTTTGCTTTTCAAAAAAAAAAAATAATCTCTTCGCTTTCAATGGTATTAAAAATAATAAAATTCAAAAACAAATAAAATTCAAATTACAAATCTTGAAACAAAACTTGTTAAGATTCTGAGGGTTACATTTAATTTTCAAATTGGTATAACTCTAATTTATTATTATCACATATAGCTATCTAAATTTCAAAGCTTAAACACATCATGCAGTAGGACCGTTTGAAAGTTCTCAGGAGCTCCTCGAAGAATACTCTTCAAATGTCAGGCCAATATCCTTTTTTTATTGGGAAATCAATTCGGATGCATTTTCTACTTCCTTTTTTTTTTTTCTAATTTTCACTCTTAATTTTTTGTAAAGTACGTGTTGAAGCAAAGAATAAAAATATTTAAGTACAGTGATTTTAACTTTTGAGTGATGCAAGTTTAGAATAACTTAAAGTGCTCTCAATCTTTTGAGTGTTGTATTTATATATATAATTGATCTCATTCTCCTCG